TTTTTTTTTTTTCCTCCTAACTCTTGACAATATTTTTACGTCATCACTTAGTTTAATGATAACTTTGATATGATAAACAATATATGATTAGCTTTTATTTTTAACAGTCTTTCTTTTTTTCACGAAAGCAAACTGTTACATTCGGACAAAAAAAAATTTAATTTTCTGATGTAATATAAAAATAAAATTTTTACATGGTTCTTTCAAACTCAGAAAATCCCGTCACTGCTCCGTCACAGCATCGGATTTATTTGTAGATGAAGAAGCCGGTGCTGAAAAGGCAGAATAAGGAGTACTTAATAACCTAATGAAAGAAGTATTTTTCAGTATTTTAAATCATTGTTTGAAGTTTTAACTGCGATTTAAAGTTACCAACGACCCATAACAATCGCAAAATTTGTGGACTTCAAAAGTACAACCATAAGTAATTTCATCCTTCTTGGGATCTTACAAATAGTCACTGGGCCTATGCTGGTTGACAGTTATCAAGTACCAGTGCTGATCTGATTGTCTATTAAGCAGCATCAATAGCTGCAGTCATGTTCAATAAGTTAAACTAAGGCATATTTTTTCACAACAACTGACAGGTTAAGCAGCATACAAGAAGAAGAAACTTGAAGAATACAAACAGTTTTAATTTATAATATTTACAAATCTTTACAGTAGAAAAGAAATGTGTCAACAGTTTACATTTCTCAAACACAATGCTACACTGCCGACTGTTGTTTGGTTGTTATAAAGATTGTTCAAGATCATCAGTTACTCGATTCCAAAAGATGTTACATTGCGCCAAGCAACACATCTATACGGCATTCAAAATAACCGAATTATTTTGTCGAAAACTACTACTACCTCAGTGACAGCAGTAACAACAACAGAAAAAATAATATCACAAGATTCACTTATTATAAGATCTCTCAAATGCCAGCCTGTTCTCAGGACTGATTTTTGCTAATCATTCAGCTAACATTTTCAGCCAAAAATCACCATGAATTTTTTTGTTATACATCAACCGTATCAGAAGCAGTTTTGCTTTGAAGCCTAAAATAAGAAATTTTTTTATTTTTAGAAGACTGATGAATTGAGGTCACAGTCTGTTAGTAAAGCCAAATATGGATTTGAGAATAAGACCCGTTTTAGGCATTGAAGTAGGGTAATAAAAGAAAACTTCAAATAAACCTCCTTTGAAGATTTGTAGCAACTGCTTGTATTTTTCGCGTTTGTGAATCGTTCAGAAGATATTCTAAATCTTCTTTACTGGTTATTTCATCTGTGTTAACCAATTCCATATCCTTCTCCGAAATCTGAACATATAATGACTTCGGAAGCGTATCCTGCAAAAGAAAAATTTGAAGATAGCAACAGAAATGATTTTTATTAACCTCATAAAATTACGAGTATCGTGCCACAACAGATTAGCTGCCTGGATCTTCAAAGTGAACTAAAGTATTAAATTTATCAAGATAAGTGTCCAAAAAAAAAAACCACATAAAAATGTTGAATATAGTCTTATAGCTGAAGCATTTTCATTCATAATCTTTAAACTTATTATTTGCAGTTGTCTAAGCAGCTGATACTCGATCAAAATTCACTCATTCACTCACCGGAATTTGGAAAGATGCCCGAGTGTGCGGTATTAATTCAACAAATTCAATTCCTTTAACAGAAGGTAGTTGATCGGCAATATCTGTTGCCATCATTTTAGCAATATAGGTGTTTCGATCAAGAACATAATTTAACTCTGCAAAACGAAACATAAATAAGCAATTCGAAATCTAATAAGCAGAGTTAAAAAAGTAATAAGCAAAAACGAGCGGAAAAAAAAGTCACCAAAGTCGTCGTCGTCTTCTCCAAAAGGATTCATTAGATATTGTCCTACTTTAAGCCAACCTAAATAGAACAACATTTGAAAGGTGGTAAATATCGGAAAAAGAATTGCCACTTCTTTTTCCATTGATTTTTCATCAATTTTAGGTTGCCTTCCAAGTAGGCATATAATAAAGTATCCGTATGTCGCTATTGCTACCACCTAAACATGAAGAAGAAGAACAATGTCATTCAAGATTTCATCATAAAAATATTGTTATCCTATTGAGCAGTTAACACAGCTAAAGTAAGCCGTTTAAAATATTCTACTTTTTAGCTAAAAACAAAACATATAAAATTTAAATTGTTTTGAATTAAATTTTCACATTTCTGGTCTAAATTCAACGAAGCTAACTTGTGTGTAGACAAGTGGTATTTTAACCCAGTCGTAAACGTACAGCATTGCAAACCCGTCGCGGTACTTATAAATTTGATCTAAAATCATGTTGAACTGCATCGTGTCAATTTGCTTCCTACAGTATAGCGTCTTAATCAAGTTGATAATCCACATTGTTGGAACAAACCTCAAAATTGTAACTGAATGAAAGCTCGTTAAAGAATAATGGCATGTCGGCAAGCTAAAGATTAAGTTTGCCCATATATCAATTGCTTTCAACGCTTTGAGTTAAAAAATAACTCATTTTAAAGTAATATTAAATTATTTCTTGTTTTTATTTTTGATAGGTACATCTGAGAGAAAAGATAGATAGAAAACGTATTTGTTTGGTAACTTAAAAAGTACCATTTGCCGTGCGGTGCATTAATTGAATGATACATTTCATATTCCTCCTCAGTCATCAGTTTTGCCTTTACCAGATGCTCCTCTTTTGGAAATCTTTTATAGGTTCTCACTGAAATACCAGACCATGCAATTGCAGCCTAAAAATGAGCACAATAAACTGGTTTTTCTTTTGTTCTAATTTTTTTCAGTAATTTCAAACAAAAAAGTGAAACTTTTTGGGTTACCATAGATTTGCAATTACAAATTACCACTAATATGAAACATATGACTGTGCAAACCTGTAAACTAGACCATCGAGCAATGGTTTGCCTAATGTTAACGTTCTCCTTGCCTGGTAAACAGGCAGCAACCATCATCATTAGTTTATCTGGCCAGCTAATCCAGTTGAATTGTTCCCACCAACGAGCAACCACCACAGCGACGAAGAAACCAAGCAGGAACGATAGAGGTATGAAACTAGACCCAATTTCACACCACTCAATCCAACCCGTAAAATACTGCTTGCCAGCCTCGTCCAAGAAATAGTACTGGAACAACAAGACAGCTTACATGGTTTAAGGAGTGTTTCATTTTTTTTCCTGCACGATTAGCTATCAAATATGTATTTGCTAAAATTTTTTGTAATGTTATACGGTAAAACTAAAATTTTGTCTGGGTACAAAAAAAACAGGTTTTTTTTGGCTTTTTATAACCTTTACCTGATAAATTAGTATAACATAATATGCTGCATAAAAAGTGATAACATCACGTAAAACAGCTTTCCACAACGACCCTCTCCATCGAAACATCAATGACCAGAATTCTTCCTCGTATGAAATTGTCATGCTGCAGTGTTAATTTTGGTTTTGCCCAGTGATAACTGCTATACGGATTGCCTATCTTATGTTAAAGCTAAAGTATATTGTCCGATGAGCAATTTGTTGATTTGAACAAATTTCTGAACATTATTGACGATGACTGTACTAGAATTCTTTGAGTCGTTTAGTTGTTGAACAGTATAAGTGAGAAGTTGTTGTGTCATATGTAAGATCAATTTTTTATAAAATGGAAACTAGAATCAAAGAATCTTGAGTGTTTTGCTTTTTCTTTTTTGATAGAGATTTTTTAGCTGAACCGTATTAATATAACGAGTCATTTTTACTGCGGATTTCTCACATAATGCAAAATATTAAAACTCTTTCTAAAACCAACAATTTTTTTGCTGATAAAACTTCTTGTTGAAGTATATAATCCAAAAAAAAGAACATACAATTTTTAAAAAAAATTGTATCTAATTTTACACAAAAAAATTCAAAAACTAGGTTTGAGAGTGAAGAGAATTTAACAAAAAGTGATCCTTGGAAATTTAAAATTCAAAATTTGTATAAGTGTATAAAAAGATTTGAAGTAAACTGAACAACATTACATCATATTTGCCCGATGTTAGAACAGAAAAGTAATAGGAAGACAGCAGTCTAATACTGTAAAAACAGTTCAAATCAGATGTTAGTGGTATCAGCGAAGTTTTTTCTGCTAAAGTTGTTTTTAACTGTGCTTCTAAAACTTGTTAAGTTTTATGTAGAATCAATTTTGCATCTAATTTGTTGAACAATTAAAAGCAACATTTAGTCAAACAAATCAACTAGTAGAAGAATGTCTTTGAGTGAAAGCCATATTCTTACAAAAAAAAATATTTTTGCTAATATTTAAATAAAAAGCAAGTTTAAGTGATTGATTAAAATATGCTGGTTAGTGGGTAAAAAAAAACTGCATAAAAAAATTCTTCTTTATTTTAGAAAAGTTACCATGTTTACAGAGTTCATAAAATGATTAGACATTTGACTTACCTCTCACATTTGACAGTTCTGTAGTCAAAGTTGACAACTAATACAACGTGGTGCTTAAAAGATAGAATTGTTGTAAGGTAAAAACCAACAATATCAAAGTTTGCATTTTTGGACTAATAAAAGTGATGGCAACAGATTGACAGCAAACCATCAGTTGGCCAAAAAACAAATTTTTTTTTTTTTATTAGACACTATCACCGAAAATTTGAGCAATTAGTTTGAGTACTGATTTGACGTCAATACACTGATTGCTTAATGAAGATATTTGCTTATCACAAAATAATTTCAAAATTTTTAGAAAGATTTTCAATTTATAAGCAAAGAGACGAAAGACAATCTAACGTCTTAATGTTATACATCTCTATTTTATAAAAGAAGAAAAACTTTTACCTACTTTTTTTCAAATTTTTCTACTTGTTTTTTTTTTTTTGTACAAACTTGTAGACACTTTTTTTTTAGCACAAATACTTTTGTAGACTAACTTTTGCATTGATTTTTGACACAAAAAAAAAGATGAAAATTAATAATAATGCTGCTGCTGCTGTCTAACGTTTAATTTATGACATTGTTGAAAGATTTCAGCCACGCTAAGTTTGGCTTAATAAAATTGCTGATTAATATGGTTATTTTTAATCACTACCAAAAAGCACATTTATAAAAAAAGGTCGTTGACAAATTGCACTCATTAATTTCCAAAAAAAAACGTTAGTTGATGGAACAAAAA